TAATAAATTTCGGCATAAAATAATGAAATAGTACTGGTCAAGAACAGTGGTGAGTAGAAAGACTGGCTCTTTCTCAGAATAGTGTTCAGGTGGTTATACATTTGCGTGTGTGTGTGTGTGTGTATGTGTGTGTATGCATATACACATATATACGTTATATATATATCACAACAGATAACGTGAATATTGGAATAAGATGGGTGCAAATTGTTGCTCTGTCATCAAGTAGCTTCATGAATTAGGCAAATTGCTCTCCATTTCTGAGTTTCCAACATCTTCATTATAAAATGGATGTTAATATACCTACCTCACATGGGAAGTGATGAGGATTAAATGAGTATAAATTCACACTCATTCAAGATGGCTAGAATTTTAAGAAATGGTTAAGAACAAGATGTGAAAACAATCTAAGTGCCTGTCAGTAGATGAATGAAAACAGAAAATGGGAATATATATACATATGGGTGTATACTATATATTTAGTATAATGTTTTCTAGATTCAAGCATATTACTGAAATGTCAGGATATCCTCTTTTAAGGCAGAAGTACATATATGTGTACATATATTATGTATAATATATAAATCACATAATTTGCACATAATATATAAATAAGCTAGATACAAAGATAACTTCATGATTTCATTTGTATATGAAATCTAAAGAGTCAAATACAGAGAATGAGCAGAATTATAGCTGTCAGGGGCAAGAAGGTGGGGGAAGAGGGGATATATTGGCAAAAGGATACAACCTTGCAGTTACATAAGGTAAAAAAGTCTAGAATCTAATGTACAGCATGCTGATCATAATTTAGCAGCATTGTCATTCAGAAATCTAATGACCAATATGAAATTAGACTTTTGTTTTGCTGTTGAATCCTCCCTCACCTTCCTCTTATTCATTCATCTAATGAATACATTTACTGAGGACTTACTATATTCTGGTTACTATGCTGAGACCAGTGACAGAATGTAATATTCTTTTCTCTGCTGGCAAAGACATTATATTCTCTGGTGTGCATCTGTTGAGATTGTGAATAAAATTAGATACATTTGTCCAATAAAAAGATTATGGAGGGGCCCCCTGGTGGTGCAGCAGGTTAAAGCACAGCACTAAGAAACTAAAGGCACTTCAACCTGAGTTCGATTCCCACCCCAGTGATGTCCCACATGGCACAGCAGTCCTCTCCTGACCCACCCGCTGCTCCCCTCAGCAGTATACTTTGTCAGTTGGCTTGTTCTGCCCCCCACTCTGTCTCTGGTGAATCCTCTCACCACACCTGCCCTCTGGCCTGTACCCCAGTTCTGTATGCATGGATAAATACACCTTAAAAAAAAAAAGATTACGGAACATAAGACAACCAAACAAAGGGAAAAAGGCAAAACTTGCAAGCTGACCACAGATTTGAGACAAACAGCAAGGTAGGGGAACAAAGAGGGGGTCTAAGGAGGGGGGGGGAAGCACAAGGGACTGTGGTAATGGTTCATGGGTGCTATATGGTTGTGGGAGAACTATGGGGAGTACAACTGAAGGAGAGCACACTGTTGTGAGAAAATAAAAAAAAAAAAAAGATTATGGGACAACAGAGTGAGCATTCAGTATTCACTTCCATTTTTTCCTGAATGCTGATTCACATCCTCTGTGCAGGAGGTGATCCCTTACAGTTGGCGATTCCTTTCTCTTCATTATTCATTATGCGCCCATTCATTTATCATTCAAATGTTTACTGAACAGCAATATATAAGAATTGTTCTGGGGCTGGTGACAAATGGATCTTGCTTTTATTTTATTTTATTTTTTGCTAATGGGAAAGACAGATAATAAGAAAAATGTGAACAAGAGTAGCAGATGATACAGATAAAATACAAAGGTGCAAAAGGATAGAGAGTGTAGTTCGAGGAGTGGAAATGGCAATTTAACTCGAGTCATAAAGAAGGCATTAAGCAGAGATCTGAATGAAGGAGTCAGCCTTGTGAAACTCTGGAGAAAGAATATTTTGAGACAAGGACAAAGCAAATGTACAGGCCCTTTGATAAGTTTGACACATATAAGGAACAACAAATCTAATTAAGGTTTGAGCAGAGAGAACAGAGACAGAGGAACTAGTGAAATTCAAAAATGAGGTAAGAGAGGTACGTAAAGCTCATATAATGCAGAATAAAATGGAAATTTTCTTCTAAACATGAAGAATCGTCACTGAAAATTTGGAAAGGGGGATGTCATTTGTTTTACATTTTAAAAAGATACATACACACCTAAGGGGAGAAATCAAATATTGTACAAAAGTGAACAATGATGTAAGAAAAGAAAAAAAAAGTGTTATTATTCCTCAAGAATCGTAGCCCTTTAAAGTTTTCCAACAGTCATGTAATAAATGGAATTCTTTCTCAAAAAATAAAAACAAATAAAAAAGATATTCCTATTAGTTGCTATTGAGAATGGATTATAGGCAAGCAAGGAGAAAAATAAGGAAACTAGTTTGGAAGATATTATACCTGCCCAGGTAAGAGAGGATGATGGCAACCAGGATGTATCAGTGAGAGTTAGTAGGGTATAGCATATAATGGGCATGTAAAGCTGACAGGAATTACTGATAGATTAGAGAGGTATTAGAATGGAATTAGACAGTATTAGAAAGGAAAGAGAATAGTTAAGGATGATTCTAAAGTTACTGACCTTAACAAGCAGGTGACAGGTTAATGCCAATTCCTTAGAGGTACAGATCAGAGTAAGAGCAGGTTGAGGAGAACAGAAAGTTTAGTTGTGTTTTGCTTGTTTTAAATGGAGATGCCCATAAGTAATACAAGAAAAATTATTGAGCATGGAGTTTTAGATGGGAAAGGAGGGGGAGATAACAGTCCTATATATATAAATTTGTAAATTACCCTCAAATACGAAAGGTATTTAAGGCGATAATATACGAAAAGAACACAGAGAAGTGGACTGAGAAAAACAAAGAAAAAATAAAAAATCTCAAGGATCATCATGCATACAGATTTGGGAAGGCAAACCAGCAGAGGAAACTGAGATGGAATGTCTAGTGTGGTAAGGAGAGTTTGGTGTCCCGAAAGCCAATTGACAAATATGTTTTCAGAAGTAGGAGATAGTCAATTATGTCAAATGCTGCTCACACACTGTTTATGAGAATAGTGTAACAGCTATTTGATTTGGCCATATGGAGACTGTCAGTAACCTTAGCAAACATGCTATCAGTTGAGTAGAAGGAAAAGAGGCCAATTTAGAAAAGGCGCAGTCCCTACACTAAGCAATTTTTCTATTCAATGTCACTTATTTGATATGTTTGAGATATAAATATGTTGAAAAATGATCACCACAATCAAGCTGATCAACATAGCCATCATCTCAGTAACCACTTTTGTGTGTGTGGTGAGAACTTTTAATATCTACTTTCTTTGCAAACTTCAAGAACAGTAGTTTTATTAACTATAGTCATCATGCTATACATACTTATATCTCCATAACACATTCACTCTGCATATTTTTTTGATATTTATTTATTTGTGCATACAGAATAGGGGTACAGGCCAGATGTACAGGAGCGGTGAGAGGATTCACCAGGGACAGAGTGGGGAGCAGAACAGGCAGATCGACGAAGTACACTGCTGAGGGGAGCAGTGGGCGGGTCAGGAGAGGTCTGCTGCGCCATGTGGTCACCTCCAGGGCAGGCATGAATTGAACTCATGTGGAAGTGGCTTTAGCTTCTCAGTGCAGTGCTTTAACCCGCTGTACCACCAGGGAGGGACCCACTCTGCATATTTTTAATCTTTGTACCTTTTGATGAACACCTTCCTGCTTCCCTCTGCTTCCCACCATTCTCTATCCATCTATGAATTTGAATTTTATAGATTTTACCTATTTCAGATCATGTAGTATTGGTTTTCTGTTCCTGGTTTATTTCACTGGACATAGATTTTATTTATTTATCTTTAAAGCATTTTATTTATTTTTGTGAAGAACTGGGGTGTAGGTCAGAGATGCATGGCATGATAATATCCACCACAGATAGGAGCAGAACAGGCAGATTTAGTGAATACACTGCCAAGGGAGCACAGGTGAGACAGGAGAGGTCTGCTGTGCCATAGAGCAGGAAGGCTGCAAGGTAAACTGACTGCTGACTTATTTGGGTATGTTGGTCTGGTTTCTGGGTCAGCAGGTAGACAAACCTACAGCCTGAACCTGTAGAACTGAGCTGAGAGTCTCAAGTCTAGGAAGCTGGCCTGGCACTGTGGCCAATCTGGAGGCTGGCTCTGTAGGAGGCTGGCCTGGTACTACCAGGACATAGATTCTAGATTTGTGAGGCTGGCTGAGAGCCTGGGTCATTAGAGGCCACCTGGGAACTGAGGTCAACTGCGCCCATTTTGTACTAGGATCAAAGGTAAAGTCTTGTTTCCCTATGTACTTCTCTGTACTGAGTTGCATAAGCTTGGGGAAGGAGTGATATAGGTAATAGGAAGCTCTTTCCTACCACATGCAATGCATCTTTTCTTCTCTGTGCTTTATTCACGTTGCTGTAATCTCTCAGCTGGATTTCTTAGCTCTCATTAATGGATTTTCATGCATATATGGGTATTCAAATTGGCGTTACTTTGAATGGACAAATACTGAAAGCTCCTATTTAGGCATCTTGCTAACATCACTCCTCTATTTTAGCTGAATTTGAATTTAAAATCTTAGAACAATCAGAAAACACATTGTTCACAAATTTCAATGTAGTGGAGTAAAACATAAGAACAACTTTAGACACTGGCTTAATGTACCATGGTAACTTGCTTGAAAGATTTATCCCTCTCCTATCCACTGCAAAAAGACCAATTTGCTCTTTGGGCACAAATTTTACAAACCTTACTTTGTCTCGCTAGGAGTCTGGAAAAGTCTACCTTTATATGGAGAAAAATGGTTATGCCTCTCCTTCTGCCTTTACAATACCCACTTTTTGTCTAGTCAGTGTTAAGGAGTTAAAGATGAACCTCAGTACTCACCTTCACTTTCATCCAGGGAAGAAGTATAGAAAACTGCCCGTTCCCGCAGCAAACGCTTCGAAATAGTGATTGGTTTGTGCCTTCTTGCTGTCACTCGAGGTGGAGGTACAGGGGGTGCAGCACTTTCTTCAGGTGGAGCTGAATAGATCTGGGGGAGGGTGATATTTCCAGGAGATAATTAGAAAGACCAAGTTTCTGTCTCTTTAATGCTACCTACCAGATGATGCCTGCCAGCATTATATCTAGAGTCTACCATAGGAATTCTACTATCACTAAAGGAATTGGAGGCATTTTCTTAATCATTTTAGCTACTAGCAAGTGTTTAGAAATCTCATACCATGTTTGAGGCAGAGGACCTGACACTTCTTTGGGTGGAGGCCAAAATGTAGACAAAAACTATAACATCTATCCTGGATTTCCAGGATACCTCAGGTAAGTCACTTCACATTGCAGAACCTTCGATACCTCTTCTATAATGTGGGGAGTGCACCACCTATCTCACAAGGTATGGTGAGAATCAAATTTAAAGGGCAGTCAAGGTATTTTGTATGGGTAGCTATATACAGTTCATATTCTGAAAGGATACCAAAGATTCTGGTTATTTTACAGTTTACCTCAAGACAGGAATAATGAGCAACTAAGGAAAGGATAAAGGAGAACTTTTTCACTCTGGTATCATTTTGTTATGTAAAAATTTCATGCCATATTACTTATTCAAAAAAATTAGAGAAAAGATGGTGATTTGGAAGAAACAGTAAGTGCTAGAAGAATGAGGGAGAAGCTGTGAGTAAAATTTTTATACAGTGCCACATAGGTAGTTGTGAATCTTCCTGTCTCCGAAGAGACTGACCTTTTGTCTGGAGTGTACACACATTGGGAGGACACACATATGTGGTAAGGAAATTCACCACTGTTCAGTGCCATAGTGAATTCAGTCCTGATAATTAGTGCAAAGAGAACTATCACAGACCAATATTCTGTCTGGAAAGAGTCAACAGAGGCTAGATGCTGGAAACAAATCAAGCATGTGTAAAAGCTGGATTATGTCAGAACAATTGAAGAAAAATCAAAAGGCAGTATGTGTCTCGATGTCTCATGACAGAGAACAGAGAATATGACATAATAATCAGATGAAGTTTGAAGCCATTGGAGTTTTAGGTCATATTTCATGTTCCACTACCATTAGTAATAATCTCTATAGTCCCCATTTTTCAAGAATCTGTTTAGGCACTGTGGTAGTTCTTGCAAATATTCCTTGCTATTAATCACACACACCAGGATCTTTGCACCATGTTTTTCTGCTAGCTGGAGTGTTTTTTCCCCTAGATACCCACCTAGCTTACTCAACTCCAGTAGGACTATGATAGCATGTACTCTTCTCAGGAAGCACTGTCGGAAGTAGTCACTGTAGTTCACCCACCACCAAAGCACCCACAGTCCTGCACGATAGTCCATTGTGCTCTCTCCCTGACCTGTTCATCCCTTCTCCTCTGGACCCATCAGTTCTGTGGTCAGCTTTCAAGGATTAGTTCTAAAGTGTGTCCCGATATTGCTTACCTTATTTTTTAAAAAAGATTTATTTATTTATGCATACAGAACTGGGGTACAAGCCAGAGGTGCAGGGGAGGTGAGAGGATTCACCAGAGACAGAGTGGGGAGCAAAACAGGCTGACTGACATTGCTGAGGGGGGAGCAGCTAGCGGGTCAGGAGAGGTCTCTCATGTGGGTCACCTCTGGGTTGGGGAATCAAACTCATGCTGAAGTGGCTTTAGCTTCTTTAGTGCTGTGCTTTAACCCACTGCGTCACCAGGGAGGGCCCCTTTACCTTACTTTTGTAAGAGAAAAAAAACACCTCTAATGTTTTTTCTGCTCTATGCTTCATTTATTTCTGCTCTGATACTTGTTATTTCCTTTGCAAACTTTAAGGCTTTATTTTCCATTTTATAGTTTCATGTCATATAAAGTTAGGGTATTTGTAGTGTTTATTTTCTTTTTAAGATTTCTTTATTTATACATACAAGAACTGGGGTATAGGCCAGAGTTGTGGGGGGTGAGACAGAGATAGAACGGGGAGCATATCAGGCAGGTTGACTGAAATACACTGCTGAGGGGAGCAGCAGGTGAGACAGGAGAGGTCTGCTGTGCCATGTGGGTCAGTTCCTTGGCTGGGAATTGAACTTGTGCTGCAGTGACTACAGATAGCTTCATAGTGCTGTGCTGTAAACCTATGTGCCACCAGGGAGGGCCCCATCTTTCTTTATTTTCAATGCAGGCATATATCACTACAAAGATTGATTTTGTTGCATCCTGTACATTTGGTGTGTTCTTTTTCCACTTTCAGTTTTTCAAGTTGTTTTTCAATTTCCCATTTGATTTTTCCCTTGATCCATTAGTTTTTCAGGAGTGTAATATTCAGTTAACACATATTTGTGAATTTATAATTTTCCTTCTATTATTTACTTCCAGTTTCACACTATTGGTGTCAGGAAAACACATGGATGATTTAAACCTTATTACATTTGCTAAGGTCTTTGTGACCTAATACATTAGGGTTCTTGAGCATGTTCCACATGCACTTGAAAAAAGAATGTGTATTCTGTTGCTGTTGGGTACCATATCTAATATATATCTATTATGTTCTAGAGGTCATATGTACTACTGAAAATGAAGTCCCCTACTATTATTTTCTTGTTTATTTTTGCAGTTATATTTGTCAATATTAATATATTTGGGTGCTCCCATTTTGTAAGTTTTTTTTTTTCTGTGATGGCACAAAAGCTTTTAAGTTTGATACAGTCTCACTTGTTTACTTCTGCTTTTATTTCCCTTACCATTGGAGTAGTATTCCCTAATACATCTTGCATGTGGGATGTAGATGTTCTATAGTGTGTCCCCTTTATTTTCTTTCAACTACTTTATGGTTTCAGTTCTTATGTTCAAATCTTTAAATCATTTTGAGTAAATTTTTATTTATAGTGTTATATGTGGTTCTAGCTTGCTTTATTTAGTTATTTATTGCATATAGATATCATGTTTCTAGCACTGCTTAGTAGGGTGAGTTGGCGGTGGGGATTTCACGGGGAAATCATACATTGTACAAACATGAAGGATGATGTAATGAATATATTACAAATAAATTGATAAATAAATAAGGCTATTTTTTCTCCCCTTTTTTGGCAGTAACTCTTTTGTCAAAAATTAGCTGTTCATATTTATATGGATTTATCCCTGGACTCTCAATTCCATTCCACAGGTCTGAGTCTCTGTTTTGTTCCTGTACCATACTGTTTTGATTATGGCTGCTGTGAAATATTGTTTGAAGTCAGTAAGTATGATATGTATATTTTCTTTTTTTCTCTCAAGATTGTTTTAACCATTCAGGACCTTTTATGGCCCTTGAAATGTAATTCATATTTTAATAGGTATGGCATTAAATCTGTAAATTGCCTTGGGTAATATGTCTATTTCAATGATGTTAATTCTTCTTACTCATGAGTGTAGGCTACTTTTCCATTTTTGGTGTGTTTTGAAATTTCCTTTAATAGAGCTGTATAGTTTGCACTTTTCCTCTTTCATGTTTTTTAGAGATTCATGTATTTATTTTTGTGTAGAAGAATTGGGGTGTAGGCCAGAGGTATGGGGATGAGAGAATTCTTCAGAGATAGAGTAGGCAGAACAGGCAATTCACTGAAATACACTGCTAAGGGGAGCAGGACAGGAGAGGTTTACTGCCTTATGTGTAGGTTAGTTTCCTGGCCAGGGATCAAACTCAGGCTGTTATGGTGATAGTGCTAAGACTTAACCTGTAGGCTACTGGGGAGGTCCCTCTTATTTTAAGTTTATTCTCAAGTATTTCATTCCTTTGATATGACTCTAGATAAACTGTATTTTTATTTCCCTGATTTATTATTTGCATACAGAAATGCCACTGATTTTTTGTGTACTAATTTTGTATCTTGCCAACTTACTATATTCATTTACTATTTCGAGGTTTTTGTAAGATCTTTTACTTTCTCCAGTATAGTCATCTGCAAATAGTAGCAGTGTCACTTGTTTCCCAACATGGATTCCTTTCATGTTTTTTTCTTACTTAATTACTTCAGCTAGGGCTTCCACTGCAATTTTGAATACAGTGGTGATAGCAGAAACTCTTGTCTTGTTCCTGATGATAGTGGACATGTTTTTAACTTTTCACCATTAAGTATGATGACATGGGATGGGGTTGTCATATAGGGCTTTTATAAGTTCCATTTATTTCCATTTTAAAAATATTTATTTATTTATTTGTGCATACAGAACTGCGCTATAGGCCAGAGGTGCAGGTGTGATGAGAGGATTAACCAGAGACAGAGTGGGGAGCAGAACAGGCACACTGACAATGTACACTGCTGAGGGGAGCAGTGGGTGAGACAGGAGAGGTCTACCACACCATGTGGATCACCGCAGGGGTTGGGGGCTGGAGATCCAAAGCATGGAAGCAGAGGCTGCTGCTTGCTTGCAGTGCTGCGTTTTAACCCTTTGTGCCACCAGGGAGGGCCCTCATTTATTCCCATATTATGGAGGGATTTTATCATCATGGATGCTGGATCTTTTTGAATGCGTTTTGGGCCTGTTGAGATTATCATGTGATTTTTGGGGGGTCTTGTTTTTGAATGATCTTATAGATGACCTTTATTGACTTATAGTAATATCAATGAATAACACTGAACCAACTTTGCATACCTGGGATTAAGTCTACTTGACTCTAGTAGATGATTCTCTGTATATTGCTAAATTTGGTTTGCTAGGGTTTTGTTGAAAATTTTTGCATCTACATCTTCAGAAATACTGGTCAATAATTTTCTCATTTTGTATGTTACTTGGTTCGGGGGTTAGGGTAGTGTTGGCTTCACAGAATATATTGGGGAGATTTCCTCATTCTTTGACCTTTTTTTTGAGTGTGAGTAAGATTGGTAGTAGCTCTCTTTTATGGGTTCAGTAAAATACATTGTTAAAGCCATTTGGTTCTGGTCTTTTGTTCTTGGGGAGGCTTTTTATTTCTTTTTCAGTTTGAGTGCTCGCAGTTGGATTGTTCCAATTTCAGCATAGGTCAACCTTGGATGGTTTAGTGAGAATTTGTCTATTTTTTCTAGGTTCTCCAATATGTTT